GGCCGCGGTGCGGGGGGCCCCCCCCCCCCCCCCATTTGCTGGCTGGCCCCTGGTTGTTCCCTGCTGGTGTCCCCCCCTCCTGACTTGGGGACCACCAGTTGCCCATGAGCAGCCTTTAACTACTTGGAAGAGTAGTTCCAAAGAGGAGAGCTAGACTTTTCTCAGTGGTAGCAGATGACAGAACAAGGAGTCATGGTCTCAAGCTGCAGCAAGGGAAGTATATATAAGTATAAGAAAAAACTTTCTCACTAGGAGGGCAATAAAGCAATGGAACAGGGTACCCAGAGAGGTTGCGGACTCTCTTGGAAGTTTTTAAGACCTGGTTAGACAAAGCCTTGGCTGGGATGAGCTAGTTGTGGATAGTCCTGCTTTGGGCAGGGGTTTGGAATAGATGACCTCCTCTGGTCCCTTTCAACCCTAATTTTCTATGATTCTATATTCCTTTTACATGATCAAAATCAACTTTTAAAAAATAAATTATTTTAAAAGGGCAATAAAATATAAAAACTTGATGTAAAAAATAGTGAAAGTCTGAAGTGTAAATATAAACTATCTTTCTGATGTTGGAGGTCAGGATTTCTTCATCATGATACTCACTAGTATTAATGACAAAACTCCTTAACTGCAAATTCCAAGACTTAAGGCAGGAAGGCCAACTATACTGATAATCAGGGATCCTGGTTTTCTCTGATTAAAAAAAAATTAGATATAATCCCCCCTCCACATTTTTCCATGATTAAAATGAAATGCCATTTACATATATCTAGATCTAGATCTAAATTTAGCTCTAGATATATAGATAGATGGATACATGTATCTCTAAAAATTTGGGATTCTTGGGACTTGCAATTATCAGAGAAAACCAGGTTCCCTGCTGATAATACTGTTTTTTAAAAGTTCTGATTGTGATATCAACCATAACCATTGTTTTAGATAAGAATGGCCTGTGTTAACATCTGAAAGTCATGGAGGAAATAAGTACAGTTTTGGGCCTCAGCTGTGTGATGAGATTTGCTAGTTTGGTCCCCTGCACCGAGTTAAAATTTCTTGGTAAGAAAGGTGAATATGTTATGGGACCCTGAAGTGAAATTTTATCTCCAGTGAAGCTAATCAGAATGTTGTGAGAGGTTTCAATAGCAGTGTGGGGTTCACTCCTCTTGTACAATGCTCATAAAGGATGATCTAAATATTCCCATACTGTTATCTGAAGATGATTGTGACAGAGCTCTAATTTAATCATAGAGCCATAGAGAAGTATGGCTCATCATCTAGTCCAACCCTCTGCCTGACTCAGGATCATCCCTATGCAAACCATCCTATATAATCTATAATCTAAACTCTACATAAGACTACCATCAACCCTGACACAACACAAACCTAACACCCTAACCTGCCACAGGTAAAGCAGGGGAACCATAGCAGTCAGTGTACTGCTTCTATTAAATGTTGTCAGTATATGCTCAAGTGATCCTGGGTAGAGAGCAATGCATCCCACAACAGAGGAAGGCAAACCCCTCCCACAGTCTGTACCAGTCTGCCCATAGGTTATAATTCCTTCCTGATCCCATGTATGGTGATTGGTTTGACTGTGAATGGAGGGGCAAGACCCTTAAGCAGAAACTTCCAGCTTGGGTCCCAGCAGGAGTATTGGCACACCCCAGCCAGTCCCTAGGCTTGACTATAGCCAACGCTCAGTGTCTCTGAGGAAGTCTTAAAAACATCCTGACACATATAGCAGAAATTGGGGGTGGGGACAACCAGCAATGCCCAGAAGCATAGGAAACACCCATAGTAGACCATAGGCATATCTGCGCCTACATCATCCCTGACCAGTCAGTGGCTCCAGCCTCTTCTTGAACACCTCAAGCAATGGAGAGTCTACAACTTCCCTTGGTAGGCTATTCCACTGCCTTACTATTCCAAAAGTGAAGAAGTTTTTCCACCTCTGGACCCTCTCTAACTTCTCCATGTCCTTTGTAAAATGTGGAGCCCAGGATGTACACAATAATTTAAATGAGGCCTAACCAGTGCCGAGTAGAGAGGCACTTTCACCTCCTGTGTGTTGCACCTAATTACTAAAAAGTATCTCTGGTTTTCTTTCAGACAAATTTCACAAGAAGATAAAAACTGGGAAACAAATATTCAGGAACTCCAAAAAAAGGTAATTGGCAGCTTCAACACTATTCAATACATAAGTAATACTTAAAAGGAAAACCCAGATCTAATCTAACTGCATGAATTTAACACTCTACATGGAAAGAGGAAATCCTGCTAGGCCAGCCCATTAATGGGACAGAGTTAAGATAGCATGACATGATATTTTTTGTAAAATATTATAATGTTATTTTAATTAATAATTACTTCATATTTTAGCAATGGATTTAAGCATTTATTAAAGCTTTGATTTAGATTCCAGCAGGGCAAGAGGTTGCTTATATCAGTGCCTTTTTATATAGAACACCTACTACTAATATAGCTCTGTCTATAGGATACTGTTACTTATACCATGCTTGTGCTATTGTTGAGATGATGCCTTTCAGCTGCTGTTATGAATCAGCATCCAGTTGTGCTATGTGCTCTACAAAAACAGCACAAAAAGATGATCACTGTCTGATAGAGCTTATAGGGTGTGTCTACACATGCTTTTATGCTAGGGTAGCCATCATAGAGGACATTCCAGTTTTCTGACCCTCTGTCTTCTATTGATACGAAACTGGACGCCTTTTTCTCTCTTCAAGAGAAAAATAGAGGACATAAAGGCATCTGGTTTCGTATCAATAGAGGACAGAGGACAACTGGACTGTCCTCTATGATGGCCACCCTATTTTATGCGTGTCTAAACCTAATGTGCATTTGCCTAATGTGCATTAAGGCAATTTAGTTACATGTCTATATGTGCATGTGCTAAAGCGCATTGATGCAGCATGAGGACCAACTTGGGAATTAAAGTTAGTTCCAAGTCAGTTGACATACACAGCGTTAATGCTCCTTAGTGCATCCACATGTGCATTAAGGCCCTTCAGCTATTCAGGCCTAAATCTGATACCTGCTTTTGCAGGTATCAAATTTAGGGGCAAATAGCCTAAAATTGCCATTTTTAAAGTGCATTAAGGGCACACATGTGTAGACCTGTGCCCTTAATACACCTTAAATTGGTGCATGCAGATGTGCTTCTAGTTTAACTGTTTAATACACTTTCAGTGGTCTTTTATATAAGAAACCACATATGAAGTCAGATCAATTTTTAAAATAGCTTTAAATTAGGAAATGGAGAGGAAGATGTAAAGGCAGATGGTGGCAGAAAATGAGGATGGACAGATGAATGAGGATGGAGGGGTGAATACCAAAAAGTGAGACTGAAAAGAGAATTGGAAGACAGTAGATGAGGAGGAGAAATCAGAGAAGAGGAATGTAGAAGTTAGGAATAAAATGGGTATTAGAATGGTGAATTATAGAAGCAGCATCTGGGGTGAATTGGTAAACTCTGTGGGATTATTTTGCAGTTTTCAGGGCCACAATTCTACAGTATGGGGTAGGGTTGCTGAATAACCACAAACATTTTCAGTAGCTGTGATTTGTATGTTCCTGCTATTCATACTTGCAGCAAAAGGCTTTAATTAACAGTTGTGTTAGCTAATCTGGAACCACTGAAACAGTGCAATAATGAAATTGCTTTTATTTATTAAAATAGATTTTAGTTGTTATATATCACATACCAATTGCAGTTAGAAGTTGAAGATCCATTTGAAATCTTTTTTGTATAAAATAACATTTTTACAGAATCTTCTTTTTCCCATGAAAATTGCAAGATTTTTTGCAGGATTTTTTTTTGTTTCTTTTACTACGCATACAGTGCAGAAAGAGACATTTCCAGTTTACCAAAGGATGCTGGATTAAAAATGTGTACTCTGTACATAGTAAGTGATTACTTCTGTAATACTTTGTGAATATTTTTTTACTTGCAGCACAGAATAACAGACAAAGTTCTTCTCATCAAATGCCTGACTGTGCTGGGATTTGTTATCCTTATGTTCTTTGTCAATTCATTTGTTCCGGGCATTCATCTCAATCTTGGTAAGTCTAATTTCTTTGCTTGATTGGATGAGAAGACTTAACAAAAATGTTCCTTTTGAATTTGGGTCTGAGCACATAGGTCATTTCTTCTTTACTACATGTTGATTCAAGATGCAGGAGCACCTCAAAGTATGAGAGTGCACGTGCACACACACACGTACACATATTTTAAAATTAGCTTTATTTACATGCACACACACACACACAAGTACACATCTGAGATCTGGTCACATATGCACACACATGCAGTTAGAGACCGATAGATACCCCGCCTCATGCCTGCCCCCTACCACACACAGAGGCACAGACACATATGCAGCCACATATTTTTAGTTTAAACATTGTTGATTAAAGCCAGTATTTTTACAATCACTCAATTCATTATAATTAGTTACCAGTAGTTGGCTTGGTATATTTATCAGTTTGAGCAGGGGACAGATCCTTCTCTCCTGTTGATCCCATGTTTTTTCTCTTCTGAGCTTGTTGATATTCTGGCCTAGGCTACTGGTGCTTGATTATTTAAATTAATGTCACAACTGTCATATTAAAAAGCCCACCGAAATCAGATCTGCTTATTCCCTCATTCATAGTATCAAATCATGCAGTATTAATTATATGCTTATCAACAGTTTAGCTTCGCCTACGTACTACTCTGATTTTAGCACTGTCTACTTTTAATTTGGGGCTCTAGTACTGCCTACATTTAATTATGACATCATACTTGTGAAGTGACAGGTATGAGAAGGGTTTAAGAAAATATGTACACCCTATACTACTGCCTAGTTTCCTGAAGCCAGGCAGGGAAAGAGGCAGCTGTTAGACCTCACAGACTTGTGATTTTTTCACCACCTTTGCTATGTGTTGGGTGGTGCCCTGATGGACTCACAGACGGAACTATTGTGCCTAAGAGCGACTTGTCCCACAGCCTCTTGCACCATTGGGCATTATGAATCATACCTAAATCCCTAATAGGGAAGTTCAAAGTCTGACCCAGTAGTTGACAACTTATATCACATGATCAGGACACAGCCTGTGAACATGGGGCTTTGATGGCATTCAGCCATGAGGGGCTTCTGTGGCGGTCAGTTTCCTGTACCGCTGTGGGGAAAAGCAGTGATGGCAGCTGGGTCATAGGACCAACTTTCCCATCTGCCTCTAACCCTGAGTTATTTCAGCCTGCAGCCTAGAAAAGGTTGCTGACCAATTTGAGTTATACAAGTAATATTTCTTTTTGCTCTGGTGGCCAAATCATAAAAAAATAACTGTTTGGATTGACTTGAAATTATATTTTCTTTGTTTCTGCTTTTTTGTTTTCCTGCTAAAAAAAAAAGGGAGGTAGGGGGAAATTTCCCTTTTCTGTCAAATAAAATACTCCATTTATCTTCAAAGGAAAAAAATGTTTCTGGGCATAAGGAAAGTAAAAGAAACAAAGGGCTGGGGTGATGGCAGAGGTTCCTTCCACCCCTTAGTGGTTAGGATTTGTCCCAAGATGTGGAGAGAGAGCTTGAAAGCTGTTCTTTGCCTGTGATGCGCTGACTCCATGAGCGCATCCACACATGCAAGCATGTGTGTTTGCAGCAGCTCAAATAGAAGCAGTGCAAATTTGAGCAGCTCAAATAGAAGCGGTGCAAATTTGAGCTGGGACTTTTTGTCTCAGTGCACGTGCTTGGATATGCACTTTGTTGTGGAGCAAATTGTGCCATTTGGGGCAAAATAACTTTGCCTAGCTCCTCCTGGATCTGCAGCCAGGGGGAGTTAGAGCCTGGGGCCAGCACCTGTGCTTGGTGTGAGGAGCTTCTGGGAAGAAGATGGCCGGGCCCTTTCCTGCCTTTGGCTACTGCTAGCTGCTGGCTTGGTCTCAGAGCTTTTGGGAGTAAGTTGGCCAGACCCCTTCCTGCCTTGGGCTTCTGCACCCCTGTTCCAGCCTGCTGCCCAGCCTGCTGCCAAGCCATGGTCATGGGACAGTCTGGGGAGGAAGCCTGCGCTGCCTGTCGGCCCCTCCTCCCCCACCATCACTGTTGGAGCCTAAAGGTGCCTTGCCTGCCCCAGCTGCCTTGGCCTTAACCTCCATTTTCACCAGAAGCACACCCTGAGTGGCTGAATTGGATGGCTCCTACCATCACTGCTGCTGTTGCTGCTGCTGCTGTTGTTGCTGCTGCTGCCCTCTCTCAGGAGAGAGGGGGATTCCTTGCTGCACCACCTGACACCACACCTGCATTGGATTACTTCCTAATTGACTGACTGCTCCTGCCGTCCCCCACAGTTACCTCACTACATCTGATCCTGCTTTGTCTTCCTGCCTACTGCTCTGCTGCTGAGCACCTGGCTGGAGGCCTGAGGGGCTTCTTGATAGATCTTAAACAAAACCCCTCCACCACTCCAGACATCTTTTACATCTGCCTCAGCAGCTTTCCCTGTGTGTTCTTGCCCTTGTGTGGTAAGTCCTATGGTCTACTCCCCCTGCCCTGGTGTATGTTGTGTGGCTGAGTAAGCCAGCTCAAGTTTTCCCAGCCTTTGTGTTCCCCCTCCATCACATTCTCAAAGCATAGACCTCCTGGTTTTTTTCCTTGGGGCTGTAGCTCAGTAAGCTTCAGCCCCCTTCCTCCCTACCCACCTCCTCCCCCACAACCCCAGCATGCCCCTACTAGATTCACCAGCCACACTGGACATTTTGTTTTTCTTTATTGTCCTCCCTGCCCTCATGTGAAACAATGGCATAGCATGACCCTTCTGGGGGGGCAGATGCCCCCACAGACCTTCCTGCAGCCCACACTATGGGTACAGATCCTAACCAAGCCCCCAAAGGGATGCATGCCCCTGCAGCCTCCACCCCAGAGGCAGAGTCCGACCAACCTCCTCTGGGGGTGGAGAAGCCTACAACCTCTGCTGCAGGGGCAGGTGGGACTCTGGTAGGGAGTCAACAGGACCAGAGAGTCTCCCATGGCCAGGCCTCCCCTGGAGGGGTTCCCAGGCCCTCTCTCCCATCATCAGGGACCAAGGGCAAGGACAGTGGTTAGGGCTTGTCTTCAGCCTCCTCCACAGCTGGAGGTGGCAAGGACAAGGGCCCTACCCCCAAGCTGAGACTACCAGTGCCTGAGGGGACCAGGTGCACTACACCAGCCAGCACACCCACTCAGCCTCTCTCTGGGCCTAGCCCCAGCCCCACCAATGTGCCTCCCCTGGGGGAGAACCTCAGCTATGCACAGGCAGCTGTGGGGAGGCCTGAAGCCAGGGGGCCTGGACCCTCCACCGCCAGCCCTTCCAGCTCAGGTGGCGGGGCCCCCTTTCTGGCACTTACTTGCAGACATGGGCTGAAGTGCCAACTGCTCAAGCAGGAGAACCTGCACTTTGATACCTGGGTGCAGGCCCTGGCTTGGGTAGTGGGGGCCCCCAAGATTGTGGCGGCCTGCTGATTTCATGGCAAGGGGGTCTTTTTCCTTGCCTCGGAAGCTGCTGCACAAGAGGCGGAAGAGAGGAGGCTTGTGGTGGAGGGCGAATACATCCCCCTTGAGACTTTAGAAGAGCTGGGGACCAGGGTGTTCCTCAGCTCCATCCCTCTCTATATCCTCAATTGGGCTGTGCTTCCCCCAGCTCCAAACCCTGGGGAGAGTTTTTTCCCCAATGGTGGCCCTTTCAATGGGGTGCTGAGACCCTGGCCTTTACCACATGTGCTCTTTCCATCAGCAGGTTATGATCCAGCTGGTGGTGGGACTGCATTTGGAGGTTGAGGGGTGCCTTGCAATTCCTTATCAGGGGACCGTGGTGAGGATTTTCTATACACTAGAACTTGTGGTGCTTCCAGTGCCATGCCCTGGGGCACATGCATCAAGAGTGCCCCATGGGCCAGGTGGGGAGGGCATCTGTGCATCACACTGGGAAGAGGGGTGCCCCTACCACTGGCACCCCTCCCCCCTGAGGCCCCTCTGGCACTCCAGCCTCAACCACAAGCCACCCCATTAGCTCAAGGGACCCTGCCCCCCAACCAAGCTTGGTAGAGTTCTGGGGAGGGCAGCAGCAACCAGAGGGGGAGAGAGAGCAGGGCCAACATGCCCCTGTCATGGCTGCCCCACCCCCCCAACCCTCACCCTCTCCTACTGGAGCCTGTCCACCTGAGGACCACACCCCATGGCTGAGTGGGTGAATGTCCCCTCTGGGTGTAAAGGCAAGAGAAAGGTCTGGGTTCAGCTGAAGCCCTCTGATGTGGAGGACTTCTCTCCCCCTCCCAAGATCACCACACAGGGGGAAGGAGCATCCCAGCCTCCAGGGGCCTCCCCAGCTGTGCCTGGCACCCCACTCCCAGGAAAGATCAAACAAGTGATCCCTGTGGAGGAGGTTTCAGGGCTGCTAGATAGTCCCGAACAGGAGCCCATGGAGAAAGCCCCTCATTCTGCTGACCAGGCCCGACCCCCTGAAACCATGGGCACCAAGGCGTTGGCCTCGGCCTACCTGAAGGGAGGCCTGGCAGCGGGGCCTCCTCCTCCTGATCTGGGGGATACAGAGGCCCTGGGGCTCACCCCCGTGAGTCTTGAGTGGGGAGGTCCCCTTTCCCAGGGCCCAAGGCAGACACTGAAGCCACCCTGATATCTGATGGGTCTTTTTCCTCCCCCTCCCAGAAAAACCTCACCTTCAGCCTACCCCATAGTCCTGCACTAGAGGGGGCACTGTGGGGTCTCCTCATCAACAGGCCGCTCTTGTTGGGGACCCTGCATGGACCCCCCTAGGGCCCCAGTTCTACCCCACCATCTTGTAAAGGAGCCCTACTCCCACCCTTACCTCCATCCCTGTCCCATGGGGCTGCAGAGCTCTCCCAATCCCAACCAGAGTCCAGGGTCTTAGCAGACCGGGGGGTTCAGATGGTGCCTGAGGAGCCCACTGAGCCTCAGGACCAGGAGGAGGACACCTGAGAACCAGCAGGCTCCATGGAGACTGCAGACCTCTTGGTCCTAGCAGTCCCCAGAGATGAGCTACTTGCATCTCTTGACCGTGACTAAACCCACCGG